AGCCTGGAGGGGGTGGGGGGCAGGAAGGGTCCGCGCTGAGGGGACCGAGGTGAAGGTTCACGCTGAGGGGACCCGGCCGCCCGTGCAAGCCTGGGCGTGAGTTCGCAGAAGCAAAGGTTTCCCCGAGGGAGAGAGCAGTGGGAGAGGAGGGGAATCCCTGGGCGCTGGGGAGCCTCTCACCCACCGTTGCGCGGCGGCGGAGGGAGCGCGGCGGGGGGCTCCAGGAACCCCGCCGAGCCCCCGCCGCCTCCCCCTCCGCTGGGCGGCCGTTCGTCCCGCTCCATGCGGTGGTGTTCAGGGCCCGCGCTGGGTCCGTTGCTCCGCCATGCCCGGCGCTCTCGTCGTCGTCGTGGCCCGCCGGGGGGAGGGGGCTGTCAGGGGCCGCCGGCTCCCGGCCGCGGCGCTCTCTGGGCCCCGAGCCGCCGGGCTCCGCGCCCCTCCGCGCCGCGCCCCCTCAGCACTGGCCAGCTCCCTCCCCTGACGTCACGCGCCTCTGCCACGCATGGCCAGCGGAGCACGCTGGGAATTAGAGTCCGCCCGGGGAGGCTGGCCATGCGGGACCCTCCAACTACAGGGGTGAGGAAAAGGACAAGCAGCCCTGCGAAGGAAAAGTCGAAAGGCTTTTGACATCACGAACCATACTAATACTTATAATACAAATGTAACAAACGATTATTTGCTGGACGTCTCTTTATTGTGATTTATGTAAGATAAAGATTCCCTATGAATCCTTTGATACCCCCGACCCGACCAGGAGTTTTTCCAAGGAGGTGAATTGCAAAGTAGCCGGGCGAGCACGTGCGATCAAGCCCAACCCTGTGGGCGGGGCTGCGAGTAGGCGGGGTTTGAGGGTATTCACTGGGGCCTTCCTCCCGGTTGCCGGACAAATTGGACCGGAGATTAAAGGACTATTTAGGGAACCGCGTTCGTATGCAAATAGAATCTATAAAACCTTGCTTTCCGGGGAAGTCTTTAAAGCCTTTTACCTCTCGGTGGGAGGGAAATACTAAAGTTTCTCTTCTCTTTCATGTAACCTCATTCACATTGAACAGATGGGCAAACTAAAACCGGACCATTGAAGTCATTAAAGAAACTCTCAGGCTCTATCTGTAAAAGGGGAGTGGAGTCGAACGGGGTCTAATTGGAAGATTCCCAATTAGAATCGAACACCTTCAGAAGCTACAGTTTCCGTATTTTAAAGTCTCAGCGGCTCCGGGCTGCGCCCACCTTCCGATTCCACCAGGTGGCGCACGCCCACTAGCCTCAGGGCCCAGTCCGGATGTCCGCCTTCCGCGACCCCCTCAGGGAAGGACCCTTCCTCTCCAGGGCTCTGAATCTAAGCCCTACCTAACTGGTTTCAAGACAAAGAACATTGGTGTTTGGCCAGGTTATGTCGTAGTTCTCTCACTGGCTGTCAAATTGTCCTACCTTAAGAGATTAAGGTCTGCCAATCTGCAGACTGGTCCCTGTCATTCCTTGTTTAATTTTTTTTTTTTTAACACTCATCCTGACATATCCATCCCTTCCTAGTCTGACCCCTGCACACTTTTCTCACCACAGTCCCGTTGTCAGGCTGGATGTACTTACAGCCGGTAGACAGCCTTGGTTAACCTGTACCACATCCCTTATCAATGCCGGCCACTATTGTAAGAGATTTATATTAATGGCATCTAAGCCTCACACCCACTTTATAAGGTAGTTCCAAGAGTGTCTTTATCATACACTGATGAAGTCATCCAACAATGATAAGGCAAGGGTTGTTTAAACAGAGTCTGAACCCTTAATTGGGGATGTCTCAGCTTCTCCAACCTCATCAGTTCAAATATCATCTTCTCAGGGGCATCTTCCTCTGAACCATGTTTAGATCCCCTGTGGTCCCACTTGGCTCTGCTGACCTCTGGGTGTGCTATAAGAAATGCTCTCTCCTGATTGCTTCCCCTACTCTACCATTCCCTAGCTTCAATGGCCTGGCAGCAACAAGGAGCAGTGCTTCCAGAAATGGTCCTTGCAGTAAGAGGTCTCCTCACCCTCCAAAAGAGAGCCCTCAACTAGGGGGATAGTGGAGAGCTGGGTGCTCTAGAACATTCCCTCCAGTGTTCTTTCTAAAATGGGGACGGGGGAGGGAGGGGCAGGAGCATGTAGCCTTCCTGAGGCCAGAACTTCTCTTTCTGTGATAGGTTACAGTCCTCTGAAGGTAATGAACCCTCCTTCCCAAGTATCCCAGCAGAAACCTGCTGCAGCCCTGGGGTTTTCATGGCAGAAAAGGATTCTAAATTGACCCTCACAGATTGCCAGAAGAGTTCAGCTAAAAATTCAAGCCCTGGAAACAATTACTCTTCATCCTTCAGACTCTAGTTCTGTTGCTTCTTTCTTCCAGAGCTCCAGGTCAAATGCCTTTATTCTCTTATCATTATCAGAGCACTGAGCCAATCACAGGGCTTGTCCATAGGAGGCACTCAAATCATTACCGAATTGGGGACAAAAATGAATAAACACATCTAGCTTTTCTGTGTAATAACTGTATGACCTTGGGTATATTATTTCTATGTCTCAATGTTCTGGTTTGTAAAGGGGCAGAGGATGGTAATGACAGTTGCTACTTCACAGGACTAATCCGAATATTAAATGCAATGATCCATTACAAAACACTATTAACTGTGGACACATACATGAAATCTGTTACTAGCATTATTTGACGGGCAATCCCTAACTCCTGGTAGCCCATCTTCTAAAATGCTCTGGGAAGTCAGGGACCACAAAACTGAAAGGCAAGAGAAAGAACTCTGTTCTGAGACTCCAGCCCCTAAAAGGTGAGCGTCCACTATGATGTCCAACAACTACAGGGTCTTTTCTTCACATTGTGTCTCTAAACCCTGAGACGTCATTACTTCCCCCATAAATTACAAACGAAGAAATAGGCTCAGAATGAATGAGAGATGAAAAAGAATCCCATCACCTGCAATACTAAGAAAAGAAGAACTGGAATAGGACCTACCTACCAGTGAGAAGGACCTAGGCGGGAGTGGCTCTGAGGCCAGACAGACAAGCAAGAGCAGACAGGAAAACAAGAATAAGACAGGGATGAGTCCCGTCATAGGGACGGTAATCAAAGAATCACACAAACCCACAATTGCACATAAGTATGTAAGAAAATGTAGAAGTTCAGGTGCTGTGAGAATATGTGTTAGGGATAGTTGGGGGTCAGAAGAGGCATTGCGGGATAAGGAGCAGTAAAAATTTTTTTAAAGAAGCAGCAGAAAAATTAAGATAGGAAGGCTGACTGGGTGTAAATCATGCTGGGGAAGTCGGGGGTGGCGAGTGGCAAGAGATTGTCATGGGAAAGGGAAAGTATGTTCAGAGTTCTGAAGCTGGGGTTGGCATTTTGATGCTTTCTAGAAACTGAGAGAATCCGTTTTGACCACTGCTGGAAGAACAGGAAACCCCATTTGCCATGTGGGACATGGCCAGCAGAGAGCAGGCTTTCTCAGTTTTGCTCTTTGAGAGTCAAAACCAGGCTACACCCCAGAGAAACACCACCCACCCACCCCACTGCCATCAAGTCCAGTCTGACTGTTGCCAACCCTCTGGGGTAGAACTGACCCCACATGGTTTCCATGGCTTTAAATCTTTTTTTTTTTTTTCCAGGGGAGAGCGCGAACACAGTCCCCCACTACCACAAATTATGCAGTCGAGTTTCCCACATTTGGGGAAATCGCAGGGGTCAGCACACCCGGAGTGCAATGGGTGAGCCTCGCCCTGGGAAAACCACCTTAGTGATCATGGTATCTTCCCTGTCAGGTAAGTGGCTGTAAATCTTTATGGAAGCAGACTACTCCCATTTACTTCCTGCTAAACAGTTAGTGTAATGGTTATGGATTAGGCTGCTAATGGCAAGGTCAGCAGTTCAAAACCTATAGGATTGATTATGAGTGTGAATCTGCTCCATGACAGTGCGTTTAATTTGGTTTGCTTTGTTGAGCCATTGCTGGATTCAAACCAGTGATCTTTTAGTTAGCAGCTGAGCACTAAGTGACTGAGTCACCAGAGCTCCTTTCTGATTGCATATGATTCTCTTATTCAGGTGAGATTTATAGTGCAGCAAATCTCGTGACTCTGGCTGGCCTCAGTGTCACCTAGAGGTTTGTTAAATCACTGGTTGCTGCATGCAAATCCTATGGTACTGATTCAATAGGTCTGAAAGGCAGCCAAATAATTTCAATTTCTAACAGTTTCTGGGATGCTGAGGCTACTGATCTGGGGACCCCACTTTAAAACCACCACCAAGGTAGATAATGAGGCTACACAAAGCAGGTACAGTGGTAATGTCGGGTAAGCATTAGACTACTAACTGTAAGGTTGAAGGTTCAACCCCTCCAGCCACTCATTAGGAGAAAGATGAGGCTGTTTCCCTAAATATTTACATATGGAGTCATTATGAGTTAGAATCAACTGATGGTGGGGCCAGCCCCAATCCCAACTACTAAGTGGACACCTGCCTCTCCCCCCAGAAGAATTTATTTCAAAGGACGACATTGAATCTGCAGCTCCAGGAGAGGGACATATCTGATTGGAGTGCACGGGTGCAGATGAAGGGGGAGGAGGAGAGAGAGGAGCACATCCTGGCCCACCGGGATGTGAGGATGATGTTTCCAATTATAGCAGTCAGTCCCCAGAAAGGACCACATGGCCAGCCCCACTATGAGACATGAAGTACCTCACTGACCCATAGCCCTACAGGGGACAACACTGGAGACACAGTGTGGGAAGTGCGCCCATCTGATCCCGCCACACCGAGGCAAAACACTAAGGGGGTGCAACAGAACAGCAAGGGAACAGAGCGGGGAGGTCCCCAGGGAATGCTGAAGATGGACTCCGGGTCCAGGGCGTGGTGCCCCAACAGACTGGACTGGAAAACACTCCTAAAGGCCAACAAACAGTCCTTGAACTAACTACAAGCTTTTCTTTCTTGTTGTGTTTTGTTTTGTTTTTTGTCATTGGTTTGTTGATATTGTTGTTTTGTTGTATATTGTTGATTGGTTTTGCTCTGTCTTGTTTTTGTGCGTGTTATTATCTCTGCAGGTCTGTCTAAATAAGATAGGCTGGATGGACAATCTGGAGAGAAAACAACGGGACAGACAGTTCTGGAGAGACATGGGAGAGGGGGAGGTGGGAGGCGGGGTGAAGGTAGTGGTGTTAAGAAACCCAGGGACAAGGGAATGACAAGTGACCCAAATCGGTGGTGAGGAGGGTGTGGGAGGCCTGGTAGGGTATGATCAAGGGTAAT